GCTGCTGCGGCGGTCGTCCTCGCCGCCGCCCACATCGGCCGTGACGGTCGACGTGGTAGCTGGGGCGACGCTCGCGCCCTCCCTGCTCGAGGGGGTGCCATCGCCAGCGTCGCCCGCGCCCGACTCTTGGGGCGCGGCCGGCGGCGCCGGCGGCGCTATGCGCGCGGGCGGCCCCGCGGGCTCCGGGGCTCCCGTCATGCTGTTAAAACCTGGTCCTCCATCCACAGGTTCTCCCTTTGTCCTCCCTCCACCTTGGCTCGACGCGCCCTCCCCAACCTCGTCCTCCTCAGTCGCGAATTCCTCTTCCTCCTCTGCGNGCCGTGCGCGCAGTGGAAATCGTTGATGTCAACGGGGGCGCTGGAAGCTTTCGCGTTGCTAGGAGCAAATGAGGCATAGGCATGTTCGGTGTATGTGCGGAAACCGTTTGGGACGTACAGGTTACCGCATCGGGGAAAGTACACCGACTCCTTCCCCCCTCTCTCCAATTCCAACTCGTGCTTATTGAGGGTATTGGTTTCGAACCCATCGTCGAAGAGGGAAGTGAGAGATACTACGTTGAAATCTGGTCGGGGAACGTGTGCAACCCGTTCAAACAACAGATCGGTTGTGTCGTCGCGCGAGCTAAGGGTGACCGTCACGTCGCCGTACCCCACGATGGGGAAAAAGGTTTCTCCAACGGCGACGCGCACACGCCAATCAAACTCTTCGTTTCGAACGAACCCATCTGAGTTCGCGAACATGTGGGTGGTAACGCCGGTATCGGTAACATACCTACCCCGCCTAGCCTGCTCTACACCCCCTCGACCAACGACTTTGTGACACTCGCCTGAGATGCCACCGACCACCAGCGCCTCTTCTGCCACGTCCAGTGCTGTGGCATTCGCAGACGCCCTCCCCGCCGGCACTTCCACCACGAGCACCGCCCCCTCGGCCGGGCACTTGCTCTTGTCGTGCCCGTAGCCCTTGCATGTCTCACATCGCACGGGCTTGCTCTCGGTGCAGTCGGCCACCTGGGTACCCTTCTTGCCGCACCGGACACAGCGACCGCGCATGCCACCCGCATCGTCGTCGTCGCCGCCTCCGCCGCCGCCACCAGCCTTCGCGCCACCCCCTCTCCCCTTCTGGTTGCCGCCGCCGCCGCCGCCGCTGCCACCGCCACCCTTGCGGCGGCCGCCGTTGCCGCGGCCGGGCGCTCCTCCCCCACCGCTACCGTCGCTCGCGAGGAGAGCGTGCTCNGTACCCTTCTTGCCGCACCGGACACAGCGACCGCGCATGCCACCCGCATCGTCGTCGTCGCCGCCTCCGCCGCCGCCACCAGCCTTCGCGCCACCCCCTCTCCCCTTCTGGTTGCCGCCGCCGCCGCCGCCGCTGCCACCGCCACCCTTGCGGCGGCCGCCGTTGCCGCGGCCGGGCGCTCCTCCCCCACCGCTACCGTCGCTCGCGAGGAGAGCGTGCTCCGCCCTCCGCTGGCCCTTCGAGGCCTTCCTCCCCTCCGGAAGGCTCGCGTGCACCGTGCTCACGATCCTGACGATCTCGGCCCTATCCAGCGCCGTTGCTGTCTCCAACAGGAACTTCGCTTGTTGATACTCGGGTGGGAGGGAACCAACGAAGTGGGCGAGAACGAAGGGTTTTTCAGCATGGAGTCCTTTTTCACGCAGGCGTGAGTACAGCAGCTCAAGCGAGTTTAGGTGCTCGGTGGGGTTTCTGCTACGGTGTGTGGGAATCGTGAAGTTGATCATGTCCTTCACGAGGGCTCGTTTCGAGCCCTGCGATTCCGAATCGTAGATTTTGTCGAGGTCCGCGAAGATCACTTTTGCGGTCTCGCATCTGTTCACGATCGCCTTGTCGGCTTCTCTGACGATGGCAGTGGTCACAAAATGGAACGCTTGGAGGCCCCTCTGGACCTCGTCGCTGGTGTATTGGAGGCGGTACAGCTCCGAGCTTGGCATGTTTGGTTGCCGACAGGTGCATGTCTCTCATTGTTGCCGATCAATTGGTCGTCCAGTCCTACAGTCTTGGCCGCTTGGATAAGCGACTTTCGCCATGAGTCATCCCCATGGCCGCGACTCTCCCCTTCGAGACGCGGGGCATTGACNTTGCCGACAGGTGCATGTCTCTCATTGTTGCCGATCAATTGGTCGTCCAGTCCTACAGTCTTGGCCGCTTGGATAAGCGACTTTCGCCATGAGTCATCCCCATGGCCGCGACTCTCCCCTTCGAGACGCGGGGCATTGACTGTTACTCTCTTCATGTGGCTACGGCTGTAGCCGTCGAGGAATTATCCATTTCCTCGAATCACGGGTATCTCACCTGGGTGGTTTAACCCCCTCGCTTCCCCGTAGTCCGGTCCTATGCCCGGGCTCACTCCGGCTGGTCCAACAGGGTTCGCTCTCGATCTGCTGGCCCAGCCGCCTTCCAGCAGCTGCCGTGGTCTTTGCCCACCATCTCTCGCTTGCTGCTGGAGGAATCCCCCGCCTCCGCCGTGCGGCTGCAGGGGCTATGGTTGGCCTTCGGGGGCAGCAACCCAGCCGCCCCTACTGGCTGCATCCGCCACGACGTTGCCAGGCTCCTTCTTCACCGACTCCTCCACCAGGGCCGCCAATTGCGAAATCTGCAGTTGCAAACTTGCGAGCTCTGCATCGCGGCCTTCCTGCACCGGCGGGCGGATCAGTTCTCCGCTTGTAGCAGTGCGCTCTTCGTCTCCAGCAGAGCTCATCCCAATGTGGCTTCCCCCGAGGGCCAACAACTCTAGAGTGTTCGCGGCCTACGCCACTTATTTATCGGGTGAGACTGTTTTGGTGATGTATTAGCTTCACAAGAGGTAGACGACCGTCCTTCACACGGACGAAAGAGGGAGTGCTCAAAGAGCTCCCACAGCAAGGAGGGGCCTCGTGAATCATCGCGGTGCCCCCTACCAAACGACAATTTTACCAGTCTGCGTGACACCAAATCATCGAGCACATGTGTCCAACACCAATGTTCGCAGACCCACGAACATGCCGCAATCAGCTGGATGCGGCAAGACCCGGAAGAAGTGATCGCTCTTCGGGATGTGGTAACCAACGAGGAGATCAATGCCAGGCCATCGGACAGCAGTGAGTCAACTCTGCGCTTTCAGTTGTATCGTGTGTATGTGCGAGAATCGTTTCGCATGACTGTGCACACGCCCCGCACGCTCGCTCCGCCGCTGCCCCGCTTCCCCGCCGTAATGTCCACACAACTGTCCGACCGCACAGCCGTACTACAAAAGCAACACACACCACAGACGGGTCAGTACGATCGTGCCGTCTCCGCGCGTCTCTAGGTGTCTGTCGGAGCATGGTTCACGTCTTGCGCTTGATTCTTTGTTTGCTTCGAACAATTTATTGCCGCCCCTTGTCATTTCCACCAGCCGTCGGAAAACGGCGACGAAATTCGTCGCGAGCTGCTTTGGTGGCGGAGGTGCGCGGTAGTTCTGCTGGCAGCTCGCCTGGCCAAGCAGGTGTCTGCGAATGGCGGAGCGGCCACGGCTGCGTCGTCCGCCAACACTGCCAAGCGGTCACAGGTGCTTGCAGACGACGAGCTGCTAGCTATTGCCGGAGGGATGGCCAGCCTGGGCGGTTCGAGCCAGGGGGCGTTTCGCCACATCGTCACGTTTTTGTAAACGGCACGGCTATTTGGGACAACGTTGTCCCAAATTTTTATTTGAGACAACACGTCTAACTTGGCGTAGAAAGCTCGGATCGACCTCAAACCAAGTTTGTTGTAATCCTACTGGACACAGCTTTCACGGAATGTATTTTGAGTCCACAACGGAGCCGGGGCCGAGGAGATAGAGCCTAAAAAGGGGCTCCTTGTTATGGAGGAAAACGTGGTAAACGGGCGATCGTTGGTGTACGTACGCATGCTCTCGCTCAGGCAGGCGGGTAGCCTCGGGCCAATCGATGGCATTTCGACTTGTTTTTGGGGCGCTGCACGTACATAGGTTGTTCGGCTCCGGAGAGAGCTTACGTGAACTGTTCTGAACGATCATTGCATACGTAGGACCAATTCGATGCGACGTGAACGATCAGTCTTGTTGGCTGTGCGGCGGAGGGAGGTGGTGGGCCGCGGGGGGATGATGCAGAGTGGGGGTCATTAGCGTGTTGTGATATTTCCTTGGGGTTAAGTCAACCTCCATGTGCTCTCAGAGTTTCTCTCCTGTTGGTTATCGCATTTCAAGTACATCCAGCTCATTCCGAGTCAACGATATTTTGGGGAAAAAGCTCGTATCCCCTTCTGTATAGATGCTCCCTGGGGACGCCTCATAGAATAGGCAACGAACTGACTGCGAACGTGTTTGTTGCTGGTGCTTCGTGTGTACCTTTTCTTCTCTTGCCGTTGCAACCTACAACCTGTTGCGCATGGTTCACGGTTAACGCTTGTTCCAGTAGTAGACAGCATGGTCATTTTTTTCTTGACGCCTCCTCATGCGAGAACCCGTCGGAATTATCTGTTACGGATCTGTGTCAACACGTGGATGCCTCGTATCCCGTCTCGAGCGGGATTGGTCTCCACGTGAGTAATGACATAATTATGATATAATGTTGCATGTTTTTCAAATTTGTTTTATCCTATCGTTCACTAATACAATGCATGTCATCGAGTACACACCGAGGGGTACACCTTCGCACTCTTCCTCCCGGCAACAAGTGGTCCCAATCTGGCACAAGAACGATTTAATCTTCTCCTCGTCGATTGCAAATCCTTCCATGCACTTGATCTCCTCGATTCCCGCATGGAGGTTTAGCTTCGTCCTCATTTGCTAAACGAGCTTGGGAGTGATACATCCACGCAAACTTCGGCACCCAACAACTCCCTCTAACATCTTGTCGGTGTTCCCGAACGCTTCTTCTTTGGTGTTGTCGTCGAGGTGGAAGGCGAAGAACACTCCCTGGACGACCATTTTTCAGTTGACGAGTTTGGGTGGTTTGTGGAGATATGGTGAGGCGGAGAAATGAGGACGGTGATCAAAATAGTCTATGAGGTCCGCGTAGAGTGAAAATCATGTGCGTGATTCTACGGATCCAGGTTCATTTTTTGGTGGGCAATCTACACGAAAACATGAAGGAGGTCCCCTTGTATGTAATCGGAGCCCACTTGAGATATATATATATAAAAAAAATCCCATGAACGCCATTCCCTGTTGGTCAACGTAACCAAACTGGAAACTTGAAGTATTTCGACATGTAGTAGGAACACTGACAAAGACACGAAACACCGTCACTAAAATGTTCGTTCATTCTAAATAGTTCGACGAGGAATAAATAAAAGGGAAGAGAAAATCACCGTTGTTTCTCTTTTGGACACCTTCATGGAGTGTTGTGTTCGGGGTAGAGGTGAACCACACCTTGAACCTAGGCACGCAAAGGCTTTCCTCCCAGGCAATCCACTCGGCAAGAAGAACTGGTTGTGTGAAGGAGGTGAGCATGTCTTGCAGGGAGGTCCTCGACAATCAATCGCGATATCAAGTTTCACATGATACAAGGCACGTGAAGGGTTCATTGTCTTTCTTTGTTGCTCGTACGTCCGAATAACCGTACGCATCTGCATACCGTAATAGTCGGAGAGATGGCACCCCCGTGTTACCGTTTTTATTTTTGCGTATTTCTCCACAACTAGGATGGTGCGAACACCAACCGATACCTGTCAGGAAAGCTCTCGACGAGATGTTTCCAAAACTACCCTTTTCGGCAGTGGTTACCCCCTCGTTGTGGAGAAATACGCTATGAATTAATGCTAACACGGGGGCGCCATCTCTCCGACTATTACGGTACTCATATTTCTGTGGGCATGCGTATACTCAGGTCAGCCGTAGGATCAGGACAAAGAGCAGTGAATTCACAGTCAAAACGTTGACGCTCAAAACATTTTTTCCGCCCGAATTCTTAGTACCCGACCTTCGGCCGCACGGTACTGTAGGCATTCTCCAATACGCGCAGATGGGACCATTGGTCGGTTCCCATTACCGCGCGTAACAAGAAAGAGGCCAGGTGTAGTCCTCGGCGAAGACCCAAATGACATGCCAGCCGCAGGATTCACTCCACGACGGAATCGAAACCACAATTGGTGAAATGCTCCGCTTTGGATCCTTCACTATTCATGGCAAAATCACTCTTCCAGCTTCACTGAACCACACACCGCATGAGCAGCACAACGCAGCGCTTCCTTCATTCTGTCTGCACGCGTGCTCCTTTCTACGTGCGCGTTTGCTGTCTCCGGAGGTCTGATGTACATGATTCACGCCACGCATTTTTTCTAGTATTTTTCTTGCCCGCACCAATGGTTGGTCGATGATCGATTTCCCTGTCGACAACAATCTAACACACTGGATGGCTTCGCGTTGCGTTAGGCGGTCGCTGTATGCCACCCCAACACTCGAGGGATAGTCTAAGTACTCCTGCGGATCACCTAGATCGACAGCGCGCCTCGCCTGCCAAAAAATATGGAGTGAATTTCAAGTGAAGTTCGTTCAGCGTCGCCATCTGCTGATATCGTGGAATTAGCTTTAGGATGGGGAGCTTCAGCATTGATTTTGGAGCCGGGGAGGGTGTTCGTGTGTTTGCATACGGACTGGTTAGATCTACCGGCAGCAACGGAGGGCACGCAGATGGGGCATATGTACACCTTGAAATGGTTGCATGTGCGGGGACCCCTAGAACTCCACAGAGGGCTTCACTTCTCCCTACTCCCCTTGCGTGTCTAATACAAGAGATAAAACGTCTTCCCCTTCCAAGTAAAGGACATACACGAACAGCATCATCCAAACACCGACGAGTAAACTGCCTACTCCCGGCGCCCCTTGGCCACTGTGTTCGCGATATCGCTTGTTAGCCCTAACGCTGTTCGGTTCTTCTTTCTTGGGTCTGCAGGTGCAACGTTTATCTACCTCAATCCCGGGGATAGATTTCAGCGTCGTATGTTGGAAAGAATTTGCTCAGGTGTGAGCGAGGCGGTCCTCGTTATACCAGATGCGGAATGTCCACACATTTCTGCGTTCCGCGCGGTCACTGAGTACACTCCGCGGCCCAGCGTATCAGTTTGGATGAGAACAAAGCGGCGTCAGTCCAGTGTTCTTTACCCTTTCCCCGCAGCGTCGCCAGAACCACTCTAACCTGCATCCAATTGAGTTACGGCCGTGGCCATTCTGGTTTTCTGCCATGCCAGAGGCATGTAATCGGCTGAACCCTAACGCTGATCCCAACCCCAAACCCAAAGAGACAGGTGCGATGTTGGCGCTGGATGAGGCCCGCACTAAAGAACCTCCTATTTTGAGCGAGGCTCAATTCTTGTTGGCTGCCCCAACCCGAGCACGTGTCCTTCTTGGCCGTGTTCTTATTTCGCCGTCCCATTTTTCTCCAGCGAAATGTTCTTGTTCTTATTTCAACATCAATTGGCCCTGTTGGTGTACGCTGTATGACGACGTACTTTGTTGGCGGCTGTCAACTGCACTCGGCGGAGTGTTTGTAGTGTTAAGCATGAGGAACAATGCTGTTGTTTTGTGCAAGAACACACCGAGGCATGCAGCAGCAACTGTCAACCATCTTGGTCCACAAGGGTGACGTTGGTCCTGCGTACCCTCCCCAATCTACTAACGCTCTCAAGCAAAACCCAGGAGCCTACCGCCGCATCCAGATCTCCGGTGTACTTGTCTAGTCTAAGGGCAGCTTCATCTTGCGCGTACTCTGGTCTAGCTCCAGCTGCACACAGTAGTCGTACAGGTGGCGAGTATTTTTTTTTTCTCCCATCATTGGACTCTGTCGTCTGCCCCTCTGCCCCCCATCCTCCACTTCTACCAGCTAGACGACCCAACCGGGGTCACATAGGAGG